AATCTTAACCTGTTCAAGGTTAGAGTTAACCGTTATCTTCCACTAAAATTCCCACAAATTACTTCCTAACGTAACCCTCTACCTCGAGTTACCCCCGAGCCTTGCAAAGCGTTAACCTTTCTGTAGAACAAAAAAGAATAAAAAAGAAGGCGTGCGCTGGAAACATTGTGTTGATTATACAAACATTTCAACACTGTTATAATATTTAGTTATAGTTAATTTTGTTTTTTTTTTTTTTCTTGTATATTATGTTTTATTGCAAAAATACCCATTCTGAACTTAATAAAATATTTGCTAAAAAAAATATACTGAAATATTGTCATCAAGCTCGTCTACTTCAATCTAGCCCTATCGAGGTATATCCAAATTAAAAGAACCTGCGTATTATTAATAATTATTGACGATATTGATTATTGCTTCCACTGGTCAGTTTAAAACCCATTCAGTTCTGTAAAATCCGTATTATTCGTTGCGAATTGAAAACTATATTGATTTACAATGAATTTGTTCTACTGGTCGAATAATTAATTTCTTAGCGAAAGTGAAATTTGATAAAATCTTTTAAATTTCCAAATAGCACTTTGACTCGCATTCGTTCAGACGATTAACAATATTGTTTTCTCAATATAAAAGCATCTAATATGAGAAACGTTTTATCTATTTTTCATGCAAATTCCTGTCGCATTATTTCTGGAAAAAAAATAACTGTTTCTTCTGTCTGAAGTGATATAATTAATCAAGATAATAGTTTACATAATTATTGATAATTCGGTCAACATGTCAAACTCTTGATCCGTTTTTAAGTCTTCACAATTAATATACTTTTTTCCCCTCTACAAATAACGCCGTAACCAGAAAATAAGATGGAGTAGAAACAAGAGACTAAAGAAGGATGAGCCAAAACTGACATATTTAGTACTATAAAAAGTGTCGTCTGTCTTGGGCAATAAGTAGTCACACATTATCTTCGAAGAACAACCAGCTTTTACTATTAAGCAACGATGGGAGCTTTTCCTGAAATTGTTTTCATTCTTTTCACCTGTTTTACTAATTTCTCTGTTTGCTTAATGGCTTCTAGAAGATCAATATTGACAGAATTTCCTCGTCCAGAGTTCCAGAGAGAGGTTTCCTGACTAGTAAATCCATTGTTGGCATACCCGGACACTTAATGTTTCATATCTTTAGGCAGAATAAATTTTCCTTGCACTTTCCGCTGCTGAAAAGTTCCTCTTGATCTTTTTGTTCGATACAGTATTCGATATAGATCTGAAATAAATTATTTTTGAAAGGGTAAAATCAATACAAAATCTACCCTCTCTAATATTAAGTAATCTGTAAAGAAAGAAGAAAACAGGAGATAAAAGTATTAATGATTATTTTCGTTGTTGAAAATGTATCCTCATAGGGGATCATATAATAAACATGGCAGGGTTTTCTTTTCAACCGCATACTTTAAAGGTTAAATTGAAGTGTGATAAAATGTTTTAACTTTATAAAGTAAACGTTCAGAGAGTTATGTGCCATTCGTGATTCACACTTAGGCGATCATGTACCTTTCGATACATGACTGGCGAGACAGATGTTTTCCAACAGTATGTTGCCATTTCTTTCTGCGGTAGACCAGTTGCCATCCAAGGTTATAGAACCCAGTGTGCCCTACTATTTACCCATAGCTGGAGAGGAGAAGAAGAAGATTCACACCTTTCCCAAGGGTATTAGCACGGAAGTGAATGTAATGGATTCGACTGGAATTCGAACTCGGATCTCCGATTCCTCAATCCGATCCGCTATCCCTTACTTTTAATTAATAACATTTTTTTACAAAATTAACAATATTTTAAATGTTTTTGTCAATAAATACAGTCAATAAATTTTAATAATATAGTCAATAAATTTTTAACATAATTGACAAAATTTTACTTTCACTCCCATTCATTAAAATACTTTAACGCAGCATCTTCTCAATATTAAAATATAACATTATTACGTGACATTTTTAAATAAATTAACTCTTAGCAGTTTTCTACCGACCATTTGTAGGCCCTGCATAAATTGTTATGAATGTCGTCACTCGTATATATTTATCATAATCAACACCGGCTTTCCGGAATCGTGAACGTCTGCTAAGCATACCATGGACCGAACATATAAGCAACGATGAAGTTGTATCGACGTTGGCAACAAAAAGAACACTTATAATTAACATCAAGTAGAGAGGGTTTAAATTTCTGTTGCAGAAAGGCCTTTGATCAGGAGGTTTTGAGAATGGTACCTCCTCTTATTTGCTGGGCGTGGAAAATTTGATACTCACAGGACAGATTGAAGGCAAGTAAGAGGAAAACAACGCACAACCTAACTGGTTAGATTGAGAGAATAGATGGTAGAGAAGGTTTCGAAGAGATGACAAAAAGACAAAAATTATGAAGAGCTACAAAGGACAAGAAATTATGGACAGCAATGATCGTCGAAGTCTTGAAGGGACACGGCAAACAGAAGAAGAAGAAGAAGAAGAAGAAGAAGAAGAAGAAGAAGAAGAAGAAGAAGAAAACAAAAAAATAAACAAACAACGACGGTCACCTGATCTGCGTATTTTGTTAGCCGAAGTCGTCATCAACTTATATATAATAAAAACAGATTAAAAAAGAAATTTAGAATTGTTTCATTTCGAAATATTGATATATTCCTGTTATGGAAAACACGGAAATACATCCGACAGAAAGGCCTTTGATTAGGAGGTTCTGAGCAGCATGGAACGTCCTCTTATTGGCTGGTGTTCTCAGGTCGACATTGATCCAAGATGGTAATATCTGTCAGTGTCCCATCCATGGGCAAATAGTTACCCCCCACAAAAAAAGGGTTAAAGCATCATGAAAATATAAAAATAGGTTTTAATAGCAGCAATACGTTTTTGGGAAAAATATTTATCAGCAATACATAATTTTTTGAAAAAAAATATTACCAGGTATATGTTAATGAAAAAATATTACCAACAATATATTTTTGAAAACAAATAATAACAGCAATAAAAATTTTGTCGGCATTAAATAAGCTATTGGGGTTGATAAGCCGTAAAACAAACCAAACCAAATCAAAATAATAAAAAAGGATTGAGCATATTAACTGATTTTCTTTTATGCGATATTTCTCTTCGGCACGTGGTTTATCATTACTCTCCACATTTTCCTTTTCGTTGTACCCACTACTCCCCGTTAGCCATCCAATTACATTAACTGTCGGATAGAGTTGAGGTAGTTCCTTCCCCAGCCTTCACTTTTACCTTCAATCTATCCTGCGAGAGTCAAATTTTCAAAAGCCTTGCCTCATTATATATCCCAGAAATCACATAACACAACTATGTCGACCACGTCTTTGCAATTGTTTCTGGGAGAAAGCGCATTATCTGGCCTGATTAGTAACTGAACGCTGAAAACCTTGGTATGGTTTTCAGGACCTTGCTAACGGTACCGCAGGCCAGGATGTTTTCATCAGACGTGTATTGTTAAGGTTACTTCAATGACAAATCAACGATAATGATATTCGAATCTGAGTCTTAAGGTTGGAATCCTGATCACTTTGGTACAGCGTAAGAAAATACTGAAATTGATTTTAAACATTAGTCATCCATTACTTCTTGTAATCAGGAAAAAAACTATCTAATATCTTTTCTTGGATTACGGATATCAAGAATTTAATTAAATTCTCTCAAAATAAATTACAATTTCATTGCAATCTTGAAAGTATCTTGCCTTCTTCATAATCTCTGTGTATCAGACGACTCAACGGTTCAAGATTAATTTCTTATTTTCTATAGTAAAAACAAAACGTCTGTATAGCTTAAAGAGAATAAAATTCCACAATATTCATATGGTTTCTGAGTCGGGGTTTATGCTGAAATCTAAAATTTTGTGATACTACTGAAAGTTAAACTATCTTCGCCAGAGAATTTTATCCCTATCTCAAAATAAATTGGGAAAACAAGAACAGTAATAATACGCATCAAGGAGACCGCATTTGTTTGATTGATTTGTTTTATTCTTACGGGTTATCGGCCCTTTGTGGGTTATTTAAAGTTGAATCAAGATTGTAGGATGTTAGCGGCCCCACATCTAAGCCTTGGGTGGGTTTGACATTGCCACAATTGAAAACAAAGTCTAAAATTGATTCAGTTGTAATCATTTTATTTTATGATTAAAACAGACACAATTTGTCTGGTCCCACATCTAATCCCTGGGTGGCTTTGACATTGCCACAATTGAAAACAAAGTCTAAAATTGATTCAGTTGTAATCATTTTATTTTATGATTAAAACAGACACAATTTTTCTGGTCCCACATCTAAGCCCTGCGTGGCTTTGACATTGCCACAATTGAAAACAAAATCTAAAATTGATTCAGTTATAATCATTTCATTTTATGATTAAAACAGACACAATTTTTCTGGTCCCACATCTAAGCCCTGGGTGGGTTTGACATTGCCACAATTGAAAACAAAGTCTAAAATTGCTTCAGTTGTAATCATCTTATTTTATGATTAAAACAGACACAATTTGGCTGGTCTATGATGCTGGACATTTTTTTCCTAACTCAGAAGACCGTTTTAATGACTTCTTGGGTGATTGTAGCACAGATCGCTCCACGTCTGTACATGTGTCTCTTTGCCTTGAGGTTCATCCTGTCTTCGATTTGTTCTTGATTGAACCTTTGAAAGATAAAACGGATAAATAATACATATCAAGAATGCCGCACATGGTTTATTCATTTGTTTTATTTTTTAGGGGTTATCGACCCTTTGTGGGTTATTTAAAGTCGAATTATATTGCAGATTGTAGGATGTTAGTGATCCCCTCTCCAAATCAAAGCACTGCCACAACTGAAAACAAAGACTAAAATTAATTCAATTGTAATGTTTTTATTAAATGATTACGAAAAACTCAATTTGTCTGGTCTTTGGTTGCTGGAATTTTTTACATGACAATATTTTTATATTCTTTACTATTCCGCTTGCGTTCAAATCGCGCTGAAACGCTGGTTCTCGTGTGTCCACCAAAATTAAGCAACGTTGAGCTTGGTTAATACCTTGATGGGTGACCACTTGGGAATACCAAGTATTGTAAACTTGGATGTGTGGAGAGTATAATGGATGTCAGATCGAAGTTCCGAACGGGTTCATCGTATTCACTTATGTGCAAATAACCTTGGGAAGGTTATGAACTAACTAACGCTTAATCCCCTTGTAGAAAAATCACGTGGTAGAGATAAACACTCAGTTGTGGAGCAAGCTAAGTGAATAATAATCCAACCTTTAGAAAGAGAGCTATTTATGGTGCCATGTAGCATCTCATTGTGCTAAAGTGGGATAGTCCATTGCTTGGGCTGTGATTGGCTGCTGGTACCTTAGTGGAGGTATTTCTATATAAATACCAGCTTGATTCATCAGTTAGTTTGCAGGGTTTGTATTAAGTTACAACCTGCTTTATTTTTGTCTGCCAGCTGGACGCTAGCTGGGACCTTTACGCCGGTAAATGCTGTTTATTATTGTTATTCTACACCCCTTCTAGCTATGGTTTAATTAGCAAGATTTATATCAGTAAATATATATTATCTACAAAATATTCTTAAGATCTAAAAGTATTTTCTGGCTTTAAATAACCTGAAAACAGTTGGGAAACCGTGAAAAACCAAATCAATCCCTCACTATTCGGACTAGCATTCTTTCCATTCTCACAAAGCTTCAGTTGATGTCCCCTCTAGTCTTCTTCGGAAAGCTGTTGTCATACTACGGGGTGGTCCAAAAAACTTGTCACCCCATTAACCAAACGTAATGAGAACTATTGTTATGACAGTGAATAAACTGAATCCAGTGTATGTGCTTTGTATTACTCTATGACTTAACACTTCTATTGAAGTCATACAGTAATACAAAGCATATATAGTGGATTCAGTTTATTCACTTTCATTGACGAAATCAAGATCCTTTGACATGTCCCATAGATCGTTTTCATAGTGACTTCTTGGCTGATGATAGCACAGATGCCTCCACATCTGCACATGTGTCCTTTCGCCTTCAGGATCATTCAGTCCTCGGTTTGTTCTAAACTGATCCCGTTAGAAACAATTTATGTTCCCATAACAGTATCGTCCTCTTCGGAGGAGTTGGTTTGCCGAATCTTTCAGTGATGTCATGACGCACATCCTCCATGGTCTTGCCAGAATACACAAGATCATGTGCCCATACACTTGCAAGCAACCTCTCTTGCAAACTCTAGGAGCTCGTGTCAGCCATCTAAAAAAGAAAATTATATTACGTAGGAGTGACAAGATTTTCAGACCACCATGTAGATAATCCCGAGGAATTTTTAAACAAACACTTTATTAAATCAATCAAGGGAGAAAGTTCTTATTTCGCTTTCCATGATTAAGAAAAATGTCATGTCAATAAATAAATATCTAATAAATATTTGCCTTTGTTTTACTTGCTCGTTTTGTTTTGTTTTTTTTTTTGTTATTTTTTTTCACTGATCCTATGATGCATGGTTTAATGCATGGACACAATAATTAGTTATATCTACTTTCCTGTCAGATGTGTGTTCAATCCATGTGTCTGGTAGTGTTTAAAGATACGTTGACTGTTTCTGGCTTCGAGTTAAAAACAACAGAAATGAAACGACTTTAGCCGTAGGGACTCCATACCCGTGGATGAATTTACCCATTAAACTGAAAAAGAAGGCGTTTGTGCCTCTTTCTGACCTTTGATTCACGAACATGACAATAGTTTCCTTTTATTGTGTACGGCTGCACCTGAGGCATCACATTAAATTTAACTGTGTCGTATTTGCCTTCGTGGAGAGGTGAATAAATGCCAGTTATATAACTTTGACAATTTAAGAATATATAATTTTCTTTTGCGAAGCCTCGGCAGCTGAAAAGTGGTAAACAACGGCCAATCAGGTAACAGTTCAGTTGTCTTGTTTGGCATTCAAAATCGATGCAAGACCACTTTATTTGGACGATTCTTGTATTCATGGAATGTAAAGTTATCTTGATGATTTGGCAGGCTGCAGGTTGGTGGGGGCGATTGGAATCGCATTCTTGCCATTTAATAGTACTGGTGATATTCTGTTGGTCGATACGAACGATCATTGATGTGCGCACTTAAAATGGCGACGTAAATTTTGTAATGTTCCTGCCTGGATTTACTCGGGATCAAACGTATTTAAAAGTTCAAATATATTTACATACGAAAAGAGGACAATCATACGTAACAGGAGATTCTATGCTATTTATTATTTTCTATTCATTTTTTTTTCTTATTTTCTTGCTTTCTATAATATACTGATCTTTTTCTCTTTCTTTCTTTAGTCGATTTTTTCCTTTCTCTTTATTTCTCCTCCTCTACCTTATTTCTTTCTTTCTTTCATTTCGTTATTTTAACCGTGTCTTTTACTGCGTTGTTTTCTGTAGCTGCGTTTATGCTCGTGCATAAGTCGATTTCGTTCCTCTTTTGCTATTATCATGATATATCTTACTGGGTTGTTCTTTTATTTCGTTTCGGAGGAACATGCAGCTCCACTATAGAGTATCCGAAATACCAAGTTGTGAACTAAAGACATCCGGAAGATCGTTGGTGAAAATTAAGAACGACGTAGGATAGAGCATTTGGGGACAACCACATCAGTTCCAAATATTGGACGGAATCTTTATATCTACTACTGAAAACGGTTATATTCCCTTAACTCTTTAAACCGTATTTTCCACCCTACAACCTCTTTCCCGCAGACGAAAACATAGCAACCATCTCACTGCTCTTTCGCTATTTCCATGGAAAGTGGCCCGAAGAACTACATTCCTTAGTGACACTAGAATTATTCAACTGCTGTACTTTAGTTGCATCTGCGATTACAAAGTTTCTACTAGAACAAGCATTACAAAAGTAACAGCGAGTATTCATTGGTATTACAAAGTGTCAACGAGTGTTCGTTGACTTCAAAAGCCTTGATTAGCAACCAGTTTACATGTAGGAAATCTCTGAATTTAAATCGGCCTGGATTGGGATGTGCTCCATCAGGGTATCCCGCTCAAGATACGTTTGCTGTGATACTGTGATCTTCAAATGTTTAAAGTCAATGTAAATCGTTATCTACTGCCTGCTTGATTCTTGTTCTTTTATAGTCCTCTCTTCTTAACAGTATTTTTTCGTATTCTCTATCACTCAGTAATACCATGCGTCTTAGTAGCTTTATTTCCTTGCTTTTATTTAAATGATTAAAAATAACAATTATGTAATAACTGATCTTCATTTCTTTCCGCCATCTATTTTATTAAATTCACCCTCTTTATACAAGAGCTAGATTAGGCTGAAGGTGAAGTACTGATTCCACATGGCGCCAGTAGTTGTCCACTTCTCAATTTACAGTCCGATATCGTATTTTCTACTCTACAACATCTTTCCCACGACGAAAGTGTTGCACACCTCTCACTGCATTATCGCTCTTTCTATTGAAAGTGTTCTGAACAACTACATTTCTAAGTTCCACCCAATTCTAACATCCAGGGTTAAGACTCGCCATGCCAAGCACATTATGGCGAACAATTCATAACATAATATTCGTATTACATTAGTGGGATGTACGTTCCACTCGAGAAACCCCCTACCTCTGCTCTGAGGAAGCAACTCCCAAGATGATGCTTCTCCAATCATTGCAATCTCAACATATTCAAGTCTTGGATCAACCATTATCTTCCGCACATTATCCCATAAATTGTGCCCCTTAATCTGTAAACTTCTATCACGAGTGACTCTTGAGCCTTGTATTGGTTTAGTTTGGTTTGTTGTGTTTTACGGGATATCAACCTCAATGGATTATTTAATGGCGACAAAGTTTTTATTAATTGTAATATATTTTTTTGTCAAAAATCTATTTATGGTAATAATATTTTCCTTCAAAAATGTATTGCTGGTAATAATTTTTTTTTCTTCAAAAATTTATTGCTGATAATATTTTTTACAAAGTATTCCTGGTATTAAAACCCATTTTTAACTATTTTCCCATAGCTGGCACCCTAACAGGTGCTACCACCCCTGGTCAGGGTAGTCCTGGGAACACCAGAAATTAAGAGGTGGTTCCATGCTCCTCAAAACCTCCTGATCAGAGGCTTTGCTGCAGGACGTAGTTTATCGTCTTACCCAGCACGCGGATGTAGTTTATCGTCATACCCAGAACGGCGGGCCTTGTATAGGATAAGCATCACTGTAAAAAAATAACTTCGATATTATTATTTTGTTGACTGTGTATGGTAGTAACATCAATATGAAATAAACACTTTTGTATATAATTATATATTTGTCAACAATGTCACAGCGCAATCTTCGGCGGTAAAGAAAGACCCCGGATTTAGAATGCTGATTTTACCTTTATGCCTATGTGTGTGATTTTAATCTCGTAAATACTGTCATGACCTCGGTCTTAATGACGATCAGTGTCAGTATGACCGAAGTCATGACAGTCAGCAATAGACCAGAAAAACTGGACATTAACATCAATGGGTCCCAGCTAAAGCAAACCAGTGAATTAAAATATCTGGGTAGCATATTTACTAAAAACAGAAAACTAGACAGAGAAATTTAGACCAGATGTCAGAAAGCCAACGCAGTCAGTTACCAACTTGCTCCTCTTCTAAAACATCTTAGCATCTCCATGAGCAACAAGGCAAATCTCATCAACGCCATTTTCCTACCAACGCTGACATACCAGTGCTAGACATGGCCCCTAACAAAAGCCGTTGATAGGAAACTAATCACTTGTGAGATGAAATGCCTGAGGAAAGCAGTGAACAAGACCATGCGAGACAAGATCATTAATGAGGCAATAAGAGATATGGTAGAAGCAATCCCAATCATACAACACATTGAATGACAGAGAATCAAGTGGTTCGTCCCATTCACTCGAATGCCTATCAACCAATCAGGCCTACGATCATACAACCTCATGTACTCTGGCTGGAGAACAACAGGCAGACCAAGAAGACGCTGGAACGCCTCAGTGGCAGACACTCTCGGAAGCCACAAGATATCTCTTCTTCAGGCCACTCGCTTTGCCCCTGACAGGCGACCCTG